TAGGGGTTTAGGGTTTAGGGGTTGACCAGAAAGGCCGACATCCCAAACCCTAAACAACTCGACCCACCAGAAATCCTACATCCAAAACCTTCGTCTAGTATGGAAGCCTGGTTTGTTACTAGTACTATTCCTGAATAGGGTTCCTGTAATTTTAAGAATAGCATGAACTACTCCAAGACCCTTTTCCAACAATGATTAAAAGTCCCCTTGTACTGTACCCTTATAGAACCTTCAGGGATCCCTTCTTGCACCCAGTAAAGGATTCCCATCCTAATTATCAGGCCCCTATAGTCTATAGCCCCTTGCTGGAACCATTAGAGTACCTTTCAAAGGAACCCTGTCCGACTTCGTAAGGCCCGTTTTGTAGGTGAAACACAAACCCTGGTCTTGATGTTGGCTTGCAGCTTCCATCTACCGAACCGAACAGTCTGGGGCCTAGGGTTCAGGGGTCCCACTATCAAAGAGGTTTTAGACGACTGTCGGGTTTTGGATTAAAGATGTACGGTAGGTATATTCTTAATGAAATTCTTTCTGAGATCTTTTGGCAGATGTCCTAAGCCGAAAGCCTTAAACCCTTTTAACTTCTAAAACTCAAACTAACATGATCTTGTAGACGCGCGGCATGGAACTGGGCATCCCGTCCTGGCTGGCGAAGCAACATGAGGTCTCCGAGCATTGTAGGGTTTAGGATTTAAGGTTCTTGACAGCCTGGGGTGGGAACACAGGGAAGGTTTAGGGGTTTAGGGNNGGTTTAGGGGGTTTGGGTTTGGGTTTGGGGTTTGTGTTTTTCTTCCAGGGTCCTATATAAACACAGCCCAGACTACGGCAGTCAGAGGCCAAAGCGGCACACAAACTACTCTGGAAACCTTCCCACGCCCTTACATCAACGAACTAAAAATACCTTAACCTACCAGAACCCACTTTTTTGCAGGTTCTGATTATAAACCCTAATATGGGATTTAGAGGGACCCTACAAAAAGGTAGGTTCTGGTAGGTTAAGGTAGGTTCATGGTTAGGTTGTCTTCTGGGCTCAGGAGTAGCTTTTACCATTTGCGGCAAATGAACACGGAGAGTCCGACTTGCAAGCTTGGGCCAAGAAGGTGGCCCCTACAAGGGGATGTTACGTAAATTTCTTTGTTGTTTTTGGAGTTTGGGGTTTTAAACTTTCTGTGGTGTAATGGTCTAGGGACTGTAAGGGGATGTTATTCTAATTTCATTTCGGACTCAGACGGCCGACTTCAAGTGCACGGAGGTGAGTTTCAGTTTTTTGACGCCGAGGTTCAGAGAGCTGAAATGACAGGCAGGTTGCTGATCGAAGTCTTGGACCCGACACCCAGACCCTCAACCCTAAACCCTAAACCCCAAAAGGGTGCTACTGCATTTAAACAAACCCAAAACCTAAACCAGAACTTTAAGTTTGGGGTTTATGGCTTAGGGCTCATTACGCGAATTCGGACTGGGGATCAGACGACGTTTCGGATGCCTGGTAAGGGTAGGGGGGTGGGGGCCTGAGTAGTTGGTAGTAGTAGTAGTAGTAGTAGTAGTAGCAGCAGGAGTAGTAGTAGTAGTAGTAGTAGTAGTAGTAGTAGTGGTAGTAGTAGTAATAGGAGCAGTAGTAGTAGTAGTAGTAGTAGTAGTAGTAGTAGTAGTACTAGTACTAGTAGTAGCAGCACTGTTTTGCCCGTGTGTACATACATACATACATACATACATACATACATACATACATACATACATACATACATACATACATACATACATATGTATCCACACACCTACAAGACTCTTTGGCTTACAAAGCCCCTGGAGGGATCCTTCCATCGCCGCCACCCCAAAAGAGCCCCTGCCAGCACACATCGGCAAAAGGAGACCCACCCCTACCCCAAACAAAAACCGAGGATTTCTGAGCCCCAAACTCAAAAGCCCTGAACTCTAAACCCTTGAAACAAGATTCACCCTCGCTGACAGGCGCATTCCCTGGCGATTGGCTTTGCTGCTCACGGCCTGCATGGCGCTGGCAGAATCCTGGGATGACGACCTCCTGCTTTTGCAGAAGGCTCCGGAGTTACGTAGGGCTTCTTCGCTAGCACTGGAGCCTTAACTCCGACGCGCCGCCACGCAGACGAAAGCATGAAACCCTGAAAGCTGCGACCCAAGAGCTTATACCCCTCAAGCCCTCCTCCAACGCCCTGGATGCCCCCCTCACCCCATCATTAAGGCGCCTAGAGCACTTTTCCCTAAACCCTGAACCCGAAGCCCTCAGCCCCAAAACCTTACCCCAACTAGGATCCCTTTGAGGGCACCTGTAACTCTACTTACTACCTACATACTACGTCCCCCTAAACTCAAAACCCTCAAAGAGACCCTATGCAAGCCCCCTTTTTTTAACCCGTTATGAAGTCCCCCGACCCTTCCTAAACCCTAAAGCCTAAACCCTAAACCCTAAACCCGTTACGAAGTCCCCCCGACCCGACCCTTCCAAGTCCTGGCTAGGAGCTGCGACTCGCCCAAGCGATGCCGAATCCCCCGCGATGGACCTGTGAGGCTCTCCGGGTTTTGGGTTTAGGGTTTTGGGTTTTGGGTTTAGGGTTTAGGGTTTAGGGTTTAGGGTTTAGGGTTTGGGAAGAACTACGGACCCCTACTCCGGGTTTTGGAATCTAGTTTTTTGGGGTTAGGGTTTAGGGTTTGGGGTTTAGGGTTTAGGGTTTAGGGGTAGTTTTTTTGAGGTTTAGGGCTTGGGGCTTTTAGGCTTTCTGGGTTTAGGAGTTTCGGGTTTAGGGGTTTAGAGGTTTGGGGTTTAGGGCTTGGGGCTCTTAAGGTCTTAAGGTTTATGAGTTTTGGGTTTAGGGGTTTAGAGGTTTCGGGTTTAGGGGTAGGGGCTTAGGGGTTTTAAGGTTTGGAGTTTCGGGTTTAGGGGTTTCGAGGTCTGGGGTTTAGGGCTTGGGGGCTTTTAGGGTTTCTGGGTTTAGGAGTTTCTGGTTTAGGGGTTTAGAGGTCTGGGGTTTAGGCCTTGGGGCTTTTAAGGTTTAAGGCTTAGGAGTGTCTGGTTCAGGGGTTTAGAGGTTTGAGGTCTAGGTCCTAGTTTAGGCCTTAGTTTGAGATTAGGTTCTGCTGTAGTTTAGGGTTGTGAAGGTTGTAGTCCAGGTCCTTGTTCAGGATTTTGCTGCGTTCGCGTTGCACTCATGGGTTCATGGACATATATACAAATCCTATCAAACACGCCTCTATTGAGCTAGATTCTGGTTTCGTTTTGAGGCGCCTCTTTCCACAGATATGTGGCATTAAAGAAGAGCCCTTAAGGGAGAGCCAGGATAATAAACTGAGCAATCTCTAAACCCACGGGCATTGGTGTTTCGAGCTTCGAATATCTACAGGTTTTAGGGATTCGGGCGACTTCAGAGTGAAGGCTGCGCTTGTCATGGCCTCGAACCAAATAAATTAGCAAACACTAATGCTGGAATCCCTAGAGCCTTATAACTTCAGTTGAGAGATTAGGGTGTAGGGTGCCAGTAACTTAAGTTCCGAAGTCTTAAGGCATCCTGTGAAGTCTTATAACTTCAAGCCCCCAGACACACGAAGCTCTAGAGCCCAACCACCTCAGTGCGGAGCTTCAGGCGAAGTCTCGACGACTCTTGGGTGTTTTTCATGTAGGTGGTTGTCAAAATTAGGGTCCCTTTTTGGGTCCTTATTATAATACGGCACCTATTACTTAGGGTACCCCAAAAGGGACCATAATTTTGACAACTAACCATGTCGTATCAGTGCTTTTTTGGACTCGGCCGTAGTGATTTCCAAATTGATGTGCATACCTGGCTAATCCCTGTGAACCCCCCAAGCGCTACAGGGATTTGGAGAAGGGTTCTGTGCCAGGACCGCTGCGTGCCTGCTGTTTGGGTGGCTGCTGAACTGCATTTGAGATCCCTTCCAGGGATGCTGTGAAATCCCGAGTTCGGATCCCGGAGGGCAAGGGGGTTTCGGGCTCAAGGTCCACATGAAACCATGACTAGTATGGTTTAGAGTTGAGAGGCCGTGAGATCTATTGTTTCAGACTCAGGGTTTAGGGTTTAGGGTTTAGGGCATGCTTTTAGCAAGAGCTACTCTTCTTGTTCTGATTTGGCTCGCGCTTGGGGCGTTCCTGCCGCTCGAAATATCAGGACGGCTCCCATACAAGGGTCTGAAATACATGTGAAAAGAGGTCCCTCGCAGTCACTCTATGAATACATGGTTCTTGTACGATATACTGCAAGACCCTCGTAAGACTTGTCACGGCCCCCATAGCATGCTCTGTAGACACTCTTTGAATCCCCTAAAACCCTTCACCATTAGCGAGTTTCGTTGTTTGGCTCTGAGAACTTGCATAACATCATGGTGTTTCATCCTCTCGAGATCTCAGAGAGCTGTGAAGGTAAGCTCTGACCTTTGTAGGTAGATATAACCGCACCATGGTCACTACATAGGTCAGTCTGTTTCATGCCAGGGTGCTTGGGGCCCAAGAGCTACCAGAGTAGCATTGCTTTTGATTCGCCACGGTCAGAGACGAAGACTACACATTATGTGGGCCTGAATAGCTAGCAGCTAGCCATTTTGCTTTGCAGATTCGTTCTTTTTGTGGCATATTTTACCCCCAGCCCCAGCCCTAATAACATTATTCATGCCCACGCATTCCTGCGACATGTGTGTTTGCTCAGCTCTGTACCCAAAACTCCGACACCCCCAAACCTTAAGTCGCAAGCAAACAGGGACTGTGCTCGGGTTAAGAGAAGACGACGCCTGAAAATATTCCCGGCACGGAGGTTAGCCCAGGCAGAAGTGGCTCTACCACTGTCCTAGCGACTGGGCCGCCCCATGCAAAAGTTTTTGTGGGGTTTCCGAGCGGTAGGTTCTGAAAGTTGGGCTTTTGGACAAGGTCGGTGTGTTTCGCTCCATTGCTAAAGGCAAATCGTCATGAAGATGGTTTTCATTGCCTTTGTCGTGATCATCACATCACCATCATCATCCTCATGATATGGTCGTCATCGCCCTTTTCAACAGCATGTGTGTAAAGCCGAATAATAAAGCATGGATCGACTTGCCCAGTTTTGATACATGTCTGTATAGGCGTATAGGCGTGTGGATGTTTATGTACATATAGGGAAGGGGTTCGGGAGGGGGAGAGAGAGAGAGAGAGAGAGCATGCATGTATCTATATATACACATGGAGACAGACAGAGAGAGAGAGAGAGAGAGAGAGACAGAGAGAGAGAGAGAGAGAGAGACTGAGAGAGAGATTGAGAGAGACAGAGAGAAGGATATTGCAACAGCGAGGAGCCCTAAACGCTCAACCCAAAATCAGAGACACGGAACCAGGAGTTGCCTTGCCTTGCCTAAGAACTTTCGCAAACTTTATTTACGCACTTTCCTAGCCAGCCACATCCTGAATGCTTGGCTTAGGGTTAAGGGTTTAGGGTCTAGGGTTTAGGGTTTAGGGTTTAGACCAGAGAGGGCGCCACAAGAACTCACTACGGGGATCGTTGGACAAGGATCCTTCTGTCGCATCTTGGGCTGACTGTTCTCTGTGTCGACCTGGGAAGTCTTGGCTTTCTCCCAGTTGCTGCGGATCCCGCCAGACATAAATGTAGGGGCCTAAATCATTACCAATTCTATTTTGGAGGTTCCTGATAATCATCATCGTAGAAAACCCTAAACCCTAAACCCTAAACCCTAAACCCTAGGGGCCCCAAAAGGGGTTTAGTGAGAACCCTGCTGTCGAGGAGATGTTGAATGCACTGCCCGGATTTGCCATCATGGGCGAGAATCAGCCCCTTGTCTGCAGGGTCTAGGGCACCCGGGGACTTTAGGATTTAGGAGTTTAGGGTTTAGGGTTTAGGGGTTTAGGGTTTAGGGTATAGGGTGTAAGCGTTTAGGGTTTACCCATAGGCCCTAAAGTAGTTCCTTATTGGGGTTCACATATAGAATCCTATATGGTAACCTCAAAAAGGAACTACTTTAGGGCCTCTGGGTAGGGCATGCTAAAGTCGAATATAGGGCCCTGTTCAGGTCCACCGGAGCCCTCAACTCCACGCCTTATCAGTTTGTTGTATGCCCCATCTTCAAACAAGGTACCTTATCCTGCAGTCTTTGGAATTAGGACTCTTGGTCTGGTGCTACTGCATTGCAAGGCTAGTGCTCAATTGATTGCATGGGATATAGATGTGCGTAAAGCAACAAGTAAGTATGTAGACAAATTTGAATATACAGGCATAGCATCTATCCCTATATGTCCACATGGTTTTCAACAGCGTGTGTTTATATATATATATATATATAATATATATATATATATATGTTTGTGTGTGTGTATGTGTGTGTGTATGTATGTGTGTGTGCGCTTGCGTAAGTAAGCAAGCATGCCAGCCAGCATGCATGCATGCATGCATGCATGGATGGATGGATGGATGGATGGATGGATGGATGGATGGCTGTGTATGTGTGCGTGGGTATGTATGTACGTATGCATGCATGCACGCATGTACCTATACGTACGTATGCACGTAGATATGTACGTATGTATGTATGTATGTATGTATGTATGTAAGTATGTATGTATGTATGTATGTATGTATGTATATGCATGTGTAGGTATGTGTATGTATGTATATGGATGCATGTATGTATATGTACGCAAGTTGTATGTTGCATGCATGCATCTGCATGCATGCATGGCAACGGATGTATGTATGCATGCATGTACGTATGTATGCAAGTATGTATGTATGTATGTATGTATGTATGTATGTATGTATGCATGTATGTATGTATGTATGTATGTATGTATGTATGTATGTATGTATGTATGTATGTGTATGTCGTTTATGTAGGCCTAGTTGAAAATATGCACATGCTTGCACGCCCTAAGAACCCTAAGCCCTAAGCCCTAAGCCCTAAGCCCTCAAACCCTACGCTTTAGCAGGGCCATGTGGGGGACGCTCTACGAGCTGGCGAAGAAGAGGGCGGGTGCTCTAGAGGAGCAACCTGGCCGCGCAGTGGGTTTGGGGCTTTGGGCATCGAGTTTAGGTCTTTGGGGTTTAGGGTTTACGAAAAAGGAGCCTGGCCGAAGTGGGCTTGGGGCTTGGAGGTTAGGGTTTTGGGCTTAGGCTTCAGGGTTTACGGTCTAGGAAGGTAGGAGCCTGGCCGAAGCGGGCTTGGGGCTTGGAGCTTAGGGTTTTGGGCTTAGAGTTCAGGGTTTAGGGTTTAGAAAGGGAGCCTGGCCGAAGTGGGCTTGGGGCTTGGAGTTTAGGGTTTACCTGTAGCCCAAAAGACCTCTTTTTTAAGGAACTTTAAACCACAAGAAACAATACAAAAGGTAGGTCTTTTCGGCTACAGGTTGGGCTGAGAGTTTAGGTGTTTAGGGTTTAGGACAAAAAGGGGCCGGAAAAATTAGGACTACGATGCTTTCGGGCTTCCTATTGAGGAAAACCCTAAACCCTAAACCCTAGACCGGTAGCACCCTCTCTGATTCTTCAGGCCCCTAAATGATCCCAGCGGTTTAGGGTTTAGGGTTTAGGGTAATGATCCCAGCGGTTTAGGGTTTAGGGTTTATGGATTAGGGATTAGGGTTTTGGGTTTTGGGTCCGAGAGCCCACGACCCCCTGCGTTGAGGTACTCAAAATCTCCTTGACTTACTCGTAAAGGTTCGCATTGTAACTGAAAGGTGCTGAGTGTTTGGGGTTGGGCTTGAGGTCTAGTGGTTCGCCGACAGTGAGAGTACGGAAGCTAAACTTCTACTGAACCTTGAACTTCGTGAAGTTAAAGCTTAGGGTCTAGAGTTTACGGGTTCAAGGTTTAGGGTCTGACACACTGTGCGTCCATGTAAACAACTCCTAGAAGCCTTAGTAGCCGGTGCAAAACACGCAGTGAAAACAGCATACACCCGTTGTGAAACCTTGCGCAATCCGTATAGCGGCAATTTGGAAAGCTGCGAAGTGATGGAGTGCGAAACCCAGGTACCGGGACAGGGGGGACTCCATGGCGTGGCGGCAAAGTGATGACTTGAATTGGCCGCGGGCTCGAACTTTGGAGGGGTTTAAGGGTGGTTCAAGACCTATGGATTTGGGAAGCGTTCATTCAGCGCTCTTTGGAGCTTTGGGGTAGCGCCTGAAGATTAGACGGTCTCCGATGCCTGAGACCATGGAGCCGCCACCAAGAAACCCAGTTGTTTCCGAGCGGTGGCTGCAGCAGCAGCATCGTCGTGTTCATGTTCATCCAAACCCGAATCCCTACGGCAGAGCCAGAGGGAGCAAGCAATCCTAGGCATCGTCGCGAGCAGTGCAATGCTGTATATACACATCAGTCATCCCACCACCATCACCACTACCAGACTCACCTTCCTCGCTCTCATAGTCTCCAGGGAGCGACGGTAGCATCAGCAGCACTTGTGTGTACCCAGGTCCGAAATTCTCTGCTCCTACCAGCTCCGTGTCCTTGCGGAGATGAACCCTCCAAATGATGCGCGCGTAGTGGGCTTCAAGGACACCTCGTCTGTGGGTCGTAATCGGGTTTAAAGCAACGCCGCATGCACCCCTGCAAGGAACCCTCTTTCATGCAGCTGTCAGCAGTCCGAAGTTTCAAGCCTTTCAAATTCGAGGCATTCGGCATTCTAGGTGAGTCTGGGATTTAACCCTAAACTTCGAAACCTACTTATAGGGCACCGAAAAAGCACACAAACAAGGCAAGGCTTGGGTTAGGAAAGCCCCATATCTTTTCCTAAACAATGAAGCCCAATAACTTATAGGGATATCACAGTCACAGTCAAGATGCTGGTCCTCGATGTACTCGCAGGGTTTCGCCTGGCAGGTTATGGCTGACGACTGCACTTGCCAGTGTCAACCCTGAAGCCCCAGGCGCTACACCCTTTAGGGTTTAGGGTTTAGGGTTTACGGCACAGTTTTAGGGTTTAGGGTTACATAACCCTGAAACCTTAAGCCCGCGAGGCTTACCCGAAGCATCCGCAAGCCTAAGCTCTGTAAGCCGTAAATTTGCAGTAACTCTGCAAGGAGGTAAACTGTAAACCTGCAACTCACCGTGTTTTTGTCCATCTCTTAAGCCCTAAACCCTTGTAAATCCTCTGACAGCTGAAGAATACCACAGAATAACCCAAACAACGGACACGGTTAGAGACAAATCCTGGCCCCTCGACCCGAAGTCCCGCACCTAAGTTTGCAAGGGACCTTTAAACGTCAACGCACACTGAACGAAGGAAGAGGAGACGCACCAGAAACGCCCTAAGCCCCAAACCCTCTACCCAGAAGTCTTTGTTAACCACTTTTGTAAACCTTATCAACTGAACCCCTGTGGAGCCCCCGTAGAACCCTCCTCCACCCCTAAACCCCTCAGCCCTGTAAACTTCGAAACCTAAACCCTAAACCTCCACGACGCAACCGCCGTAGAGGAGATCCGATGGGCGTGGTCTGAGCAGCTTCACGATCTGGAGTTGCTCATGGAGGTCCAGTTTGGCCTTTAAGGTTTTCCGTTCAAAAGGATCGACAGAGGTGGGGTTGAACATGTAGAGGCTGTAACTGTAAGATGTGTGGGCGTGGCCTGAACATTTGGAACAGGGTCTTGGGGCACATTTTGGCATGTTTACGTTTATAGAGATACACGTTCGGGCCCAGTTTCGGTTTGTTGCAGGCTGCAGGGATGCGTTTGTGGAGACCAAAACGCAAAACATATGTTGGGCACCTGCAGCTGCAGACTACCCGAAGCCCAACCCTAACCCTAAACCCTAAACCCTAAACCCTAAACCCAAACATTGGGTGGGTGGACCGCAACCCTAAACCCCCATGGCTGCGCTTTGCAGGGTTTCGGGTTTCAGCACTTCCTCCAAGCCGGCAAAAGCGAATCTTGAAAGCACTGGCCTAACCCCATGTGAACACTGTACCTAGGCCCCCCAACTACCCTCTATTATCCCCCAAATAACCACTATTAAGGACCAGATGGGCTCTGTTAAAGGGCCATTGGGGGGTCCTGGTAGATCGGGTTGTGCGCCTGGTTGTTTCTGAGCTTTTGGGTCTAGGGCGCAACCTGAAGCGACGGAGGTGTTTCCATGCTCTTTCGCCCCTAAACCCTAAACCCTAAACCCTAAACCCTAAACCCTAACGTTAAGCGACGGAGGTGTTTCCATGCTCTTTCGCCGTGCTGAACTACCGCATCACGGCTCTGGTGTTGTTTAGCGCCTCCCGGGCTTCCCATGCAGAAGCTAATCGGTTTAGGGTTTAGGGTTTAGGGTTTAGTAATGGTCCCCTTGCCTAAATCCTAAACCCGAAAACCCCAAACCCTGAACCCTGATCCTTGAGCCCCAAGCCCCAAAAATGATCAAGCCTCCGCAATAACCTAGTAGGTTCATTGGTTTCGGTATGTAGTTTGTATATTTCCCCTTAAGCAACATCCTTGAGATTAGAGATTCGTGGTAGTTTCGGCACGTTCGCCAGTGTTACTTGCAATCTATACCTTAAGAACCCAAAACCTTTTTTGTAGGGTCCCCCAAAAATCCCATATTAGGGCTTATAATAAGAACCTACAAAAAAGTGGGTTTTGGGTTCTTAAGGTATACTACTTCCCGCCTAAGAGCCTCACAGTGCATCTTCAGACACAGAACGTCATCATCCCCCGGCCCCCCACCCCCCCTCACACCAAGAAGAAACAGAAAGTAGACACAGTTATTCCCCCATGTGCTTAAGCTTCCTTAAGCCTTTATCCGAAAATCCGAAGCTGAGCTCTTAACCGTCCGACCCTACAAATTAGTGGGTTCTGGTAGGTTGTTGAGGAAACCATAGCGGAATACTGAATTGTGCAAAGGTTGGGATAAGTCGAAAAGCCAGCCACCTTTCCCAGGATAGAGCTTAAGCCCCACACCCCCAAACCGTAAACACGAAGCCTGAAAACCTTCCACCCGTTGGCCCTAAACGCCTCAAACCCTGAACCCTAAACCCTTGAAGCCTAAAACCCTAAAACCCTAAACGCTAAACCCTAACCCTGAACCCGTAAATCCCGAAATCCTGGAACCCGTCGTCTAAGGTAAGGACATTGAGGCGGAGGCCGAGTCGCGGACAGAGGCAACCGGTGGCCCGGCTCGAAAGCACAACACCTTCAGGGCTTTTGGTTTTTGGTCTAGGGTTTGGGTTTTAGGGTTTTGGGTTCAGGGCTTGGGGTTTTTGGTTTAGGGTTTAGGGTTTTGGGCTTGGGGTTTTTGGGTTTAGGGTTTAGGGGAACACATCAGAAAGGGTTCTACCCTCAGGGCTCCAACAGGGTTCCGGTACTGGTGTTGAGAGGATTCTGGAAGGATTCCTAGAAGATCTACCGTTCTGCTGTAAGGGTTCTCCCAAAGGCTCCGGGAGGGGTCTCTTGGAGGGTTCTACAAGGGTGCTGTCTGGGTCTAAGGAGCGATACGGGCTCTCTTTTTAAGAGTTCCTCTAAGGGTTCTGCGGTTTAGGGTTTAGGGTCAGCGTCTGTAATACAAGTTCCAACTTGTGTTTTAAAGGGCTCCATAACAGGCGATGGTGGGTTCTATATGGGTTCTTTCAAAGGTTCCAACAGGGTTTGTAAAAGGATTCTATAGTGGGCCGTGCTCTGTACGGGTTCTTTCAAGGGTTCTATAAGGCTTTTGAAAATTCAGGGGCATTACAAGAGCAGCAGCCTTACTGATAGGAACATCTAACTTCTGAACCGTTCAAGTCTATAAGCACACTTTGGTGGTTTCTAGCAAGGCTTTTTGTTGGGACTTCAGTGCGGAGCGAGAAAGGGCTTGATGGTCGCGGGGTTTATGCTTCATTGTTTCGTTTGTGGTTTAGGAGTTAAGCTTGAGGGCTCTGAGGTTCGGGTTTAGGGTTGTCAGAGCTCGGATCCTTTGGTGTTGTGGTGTCTTCACGGCTTAGGATTGTCCTCCCCTATCCCTCCTCCTCCTCCTTCTCCTCTTCTTCCCCCTTCCCGTTTTCATCATCATCATCATCATCATCATCATCATCATCATCACCATGAGCCTTAAATACCATGCTTCATCCTTGACATACTTGTGTGGCCATCGCCATCATCGTCATCATCATCCTCATCGTCGTCATCATCATCATCGTCGTCGTCGTCATCATCAGTACCAGCATACCATCCAGGGCCCAACTTTGCTATGCAGTAGCCAAGGTTATTTCCCACCGACCAATCTTGCGGAGGCCACGAAGGCTCGGAAGCGCAGGGGCTTTCTTCTTCGAATTTATGGTTTAGGGTTTAGGGTTTAGGGTTCGACCCCCTCAGCTCTTGACCCAGGGACTCAAGTATCACCTACTTAGTCTAGGATCTTTCTTTTGAGAGCTCTCAATCAAGAGATCTTGGAGCCTCTACCCTTCCCAACCCCCAAGGCCCATTTTAGTTCGCAATGCCTTTGAAAACCCCTAAACCCCAAGCCTGCAATTCCCCACAAAAACCAGCGCCCAAGAGCAGGAAGCTCGAGAGTAAGCCCTGAACCTACAGCTGCCAATTTATTTCAGGCTTTACCCGCCCCTGCCCCCAGGCCCCAAACCCCTACAAAGCCTTATGCATAGCTTCATAGACCTCCTGAAACTCTTACGAAGTCCTACGGAAACCTCGGCCGCTAACACGCCCGAGACCCTGCACCCTTACTAAACCCAAGCCCCCAAGCCCCCAAGCCCGAACTCTAAACCCTGAACCCTAAACCCCAAACCCCTAAACCCGTAAACCCTAAACCCCTAAACCCTAAACCCCTAAACCCTAAACCCTTTTCAGCCCATGCAAGGCGATGCTCAGCTTCTACGAGAACCATCGGCAACGAAGCTTCTTGCTGCCCTTGGAGAACTTCTCGACGGCACCCTGGATTTAAACCTTAGGGCTTACCTTATAGCCCCCAATAACCTAGCTGTCCTAGGGGCTTTTGCAATGAAGTTATAACAAGGATCACTAGAAAGGTAGGTTTTGTAGGGTCCAGGTGTGGATTGACTTGAGGGTTTGAAGGTTTTGGGCTTCAGGGTTGGGGTTCTACAGCTTAGGTCTATGTTAGGTGGGTTTAGCACTGTGAGGTTTAAGGTTCAGGGTCTATATTTTCGGGCCTTCCCTGTATAAGAAGAGTGGCTGAGGATAGCAGCCCAAACCCCCACACACACAGACACACAGACACAGACAGACACACACCCAAAGTCCTAGATCAGTTTTCCTCCTCTGGGTTATGAATGCCCATTTTGTGTTCGCAGCCCCTCACGACTTCTCCATTGGCAGTCTTGCAAGAAGGAACCCAGAACCAGGAACAATTATCCGAATAAAGCATGCGCGCAACGCTGCAAGAGGAATAGCGGCAATAGCAACAAGAAACCCATCAAGACCGTAACAACAATCACAAGCGAAGCGAATTCGACGAAGGCGTAGTGTGAAAAGGTCCGAAACTCTCGTTGTCGCCTCGAGAGACCCTGAGCCATCGTTAGGATCTCTTCAACCAGCTCCTCCGTTTTCTCGGCGAGGATCTGCTGGCCAAACTCAACTTCTTGTGACCATGTGGGAGTTTCCGACAATTAGGGTACCTTATCTTGGGGTCCTTATAATAAGGATCCTACTATTTAGGGTACTATATGAGGGTCCCCTATTTTCAGAAACCCCCATGTAGGTATTGGTGTGGAGAGCGTTTTTGTTCCCTAAACCCTAAACCATGCGTTTTGGATTCTCTTGGCGGGTGGACTGAGTTGGTTGGTGGCTCGTTCATGGTTCCGGGGCTTCGGGTGGAGTGTGAGGGGTGCACCTGTGCAAGCTTCATGATGTACATGAGTTCAGGGTTTTAGAGTTTAGATTCGATGTTTTGGGTATATAGGGTTATATAGGGTTTACTGTTGGGGGCATCGGCTCTCTGCATTCTTGCAGAGTACCGGCTCAGGAAACCCAAAGCCCTATTTCAAGGTTTCAGATTTGAGGGTTAACTGGTAATACGATGTACAATCTTAAACCTCTAAACCCTAGGCCCCAAACCCCAAACCCAAAACCCCCTAAACCCTAAACCCTAAACCCTAACCCCAAACCCCAAACCCCAAACCCTAAACCCTACACCCTAAACTCTTAAACCCTTAACCCTAAACCCTTAACCCTTAAACCCTAACCCCCAGCGCCAAGTTCTGTAGCAGGGCTTTCGGGTTTGCAAGGACCTTCGGGGTTTGAAGGTCCAGGCATTGGTTCTCAATCCCACGATGTCCTGCTCCCCCAAGTCTGCAACCCTAAACCCTGCACCCTAAGCCTTGAACCCTAAAACCCTGAGCCCTAAATCCTAAAACCTGAACCCTAAGTCCTACATTACTAAAGCCTAAGCCCTGAACCCTAAACCCTAAACCGCAAACCCTGAACCCCAAAACCCTGAACCCTCCTTAAGTCCAGTCCGCTGCAGGTGCATTTCGGTTTAGGTTTAGGGTTGCCCTACACCTAAACCCTATAGGCCCTGCACCCTCAACCCTCCATCCAGGACCAGTGCTCCTTCACCGACGTTCTCCACGACAACTCGCACTCAGGCTTTCTCACGCACCGACTTTTCGGACACGGGGTTTTAGGGTTTGGGGTTTAGGGCTCTAGGGTGTAGGTTCCTGAGGGATACCGAGTCCACCTTCCACCCGTTTACTGTAGAAAGCACATTTAGGGTTTAGGGTTTAGGGTTTAGGGTTTAGGGTTTAGGGTTTAGGGTTCAGGGTTCAGGGTTTAGGGTTTAGGGTCCGAGCAACTTCTACATCCCGAACCCAGACTCGGGCAATCACAGTTGGGAAGTCGGGCCCAAGAATGACAAAGCCTAAACACCACCTGAGACGAAGTTTCGTAATAGGCTCTTATCTTATAACGACCCTGACAGGGAATCTACAGGGACCCTAAACCCTAAACCCTAAACCCTAAACCCTAAACCCTAAACCCTAAACCCTAAACCGTAGTAGTCGAAAGCAAACCCTATGAACTCAAAGAGGGCTCAGCCTGGGCGCTTGGGGGGCCACAGTGTGTATGGGTAGTTCTCTAAATTAGGGTCCCTTTTGGGTTTAGGGTTTAGGGTTTAGGGTTTAGGGTTTAGGGTTTAGGGTTTAGGGGGTTCTTTTTATAAGGGTGCCGTACTATATTGGGGACCCAAAAAGGGACCCTAGTTTAGAGAACTACCCGTATCCAGATCTTCCTGAAACACGGAGCATTCCTCGCCCTTTCGGGGGCTTAGGGTATAGGGTTTATAGGGTTTTCTTGGAGGGCCTCATAATTGATATCCCTATGAAAGTCCTGTATTCAAGGCAGTAAGAATGTTAGTAAACGGGGATCTACATGGGGGTTTCCGAAAATAGATAACAGGATCCTTATTATAAGGGCCCCAAAATAAGGTACCCCTAATTTTCGGAAACTCCCACATTACGAAGCAGAACGTAAGACCAAACCATTGCACCCTGAATCCGCGGCCTCTTCCTCAGGTTTTTATAAGTATATGTATGCAATGTATCTCCAAACCCTGCCCTAAACCCCCAATCCTAAACATTCCTAAAGCATAAACCCTAGGCCCTAAGCTCTACTGTTCACACTCTACAATCCACTCCCCAGTTTAAAATCATGACGTTGAAATCAGAATCATGCCTTTTCGGATTGCATAAAGCCTGAAGAACTACGAAATCCATTCCCTGAACACAGGGATCTGTACTAGAGTATTCCCCGAAGCCCTATATGTTGATCCTAATATGCTACGTGTGGACCCTAGCAGTTATTGAATCCATACAATGGTCCCTGATTTTCTCTATTCTCCAGATGGCCACAGCGTAAACCCTTCACCGCATACCTTAACCTACCAAAACCCACTTTTTTGTAGGTTCCTATTATAAACCCTAACAGGGGATTTATAGGGACCCTACAAAAAAGTAGGTTCTGGTGGGTTAAGGTAGAGCTTTTCTCCGCCATCACTTTGGCTCAGATCGCGAATTCGCGTAGGCCGCCTTCTAAAGCTGAGTTGCGGCCAATTTGCCGTTCGGCTTCTGGCACATTCCGGCACCACGGCGACAACGGCATAGGTTTAAGTTACTATAGCACAACGGTGTCGTCAGCAGTCTCATTTACCTGTGGTCGCAAATGGGATAAAGTAGAATCCAGAAAGTTGGAACATCAATATCCCCATGCCCTTAAGCTAAAGTATAGAGGATCCCAGCACTAACCACCCTAAATCCATGTTCCAACTTTTTGGGAATCACTAGAGGTGTTATTGTTTAAGTTGGTATTGATTTTTTGTTTGCATCACAATCAGATTCACTCATACACGTCACTGCGACCGGTACCTGCTCCAGCCAGAGCCTCGCAGTCGTAGGATGCAGGCTTCCCAGCTTTGGTGGTTTAGGGTGTAGGGAATCGATACCGGAGCATATTGACACGACATGGGCTTACATTAGAGCTCCATTGAAAGCACCTGACATCACAAATCTTAAACTCTAACACGGCTGTTACGAGTCCTTGGCTGCAGCAGTCTTTCGCCCCAGCGCCAGGTATCTGTTTACCCATACTAAGCTCGAAATCCCAAAAAGTCTTCTATGCTAGACGCTGCCCAAGCCCCTAAACACTTAAACCCTAACCGCTACCCATAGGCCCCATAGTAGTTCCTTTGTGGGGTTCATAATTTAGACTCCTACAAGGTAATCCCCCAAAACGGAACTACTTTGGGGCCTATGAGTAAACCCCTAAAGCAACAGCTACACCTCGGGTTGACTGGGAGTTGGCGTGGGCCATATGATTCTGGGCCACATGGATGCAGCCCTGGTACGTACCATCTAGTTTAGGGTTTAGGGTTTTAGGGCTTTAGGGGTTTAGGGTGTAACTCTGGTATACCGGATCCTCTCCAGACCCTAAACCCTAAGCCCTAATCCCCTAAACCCTTAACCCTGAACGCTAACTCCGAAACCCTCTCTAGACTCTTTTAGGAGGTCGTTGGGATAGAGCCCTCATCCCCAAGCCCGAAGACCCACACCCCTCAAAACATCCTACAGCCCTAAGCCCTTATAACCCCTAAACCCCGAAACCCTAAACCCAACATGTAGCATGTATTATACAACATATAGTATCTTTAACCTGCACATAATCAATATACAATAGTATAACACAGAACAACATGTAGTATATATCATATGTAGTATACAAGATATGCAACATATATAGTATATATAATATAGCATGCATATAAAATATAACTAGTACATAGCATACAACATATGTACTATATACATTTATATATATATATATATGTATATATATATATATATATATATTTGTTTAGAGTCATTATAAAGGTATTAGAGTGGAGCCCCAGACTTTTCAGCCTCGGCCCTCATCCCGAGATCCTCAAAGCGGCCCTTTCTGTAGCCCTGGCCACGGAAGCCTGGAAGTTCTAAAACCTAAGCGCTAAACCCCGAACCCTAAGGGGTGCAGGGTTCAGGGTTTAGGGCTTTGGGGTTTAGGGATTAGAGTTTCGGGTTTAGGGTTTAGGGTTTAGGGCTTTGGGGTTTAGGGTTTAGGGTTTCGGGTTTAGGGTTTAGGGTGTAGGGTTTAGGACTCAGGGCCCCTAAACCGTAAACCCTAAAGGGACCCTTGGACCCTGAGCCCTCAGCCCTCATGTACAGGAAGCCCTTTTTCGTAGCCCTTGCCCCAAGGCAGCCTTCAAGGGAACCCTAAACCCTTGACCATCATGGCAGCCATCCTAGGGACCCAAGGAGCCCTAAGCCCAAAGCCTAGGTTTCCTCCGAAAGGAGGTTCATGGCGGTAAGCCGCCTTGCGGCGATGGAGGCGAAAGAGACTGTTGGCTATTCTGTATTTGTGTTGGTATAGGTTGCTGGTCTGGGTTTTCTCGATGAATGCTTTAGGCGTTTAGTTCAGGGTTTATTGTTTATGGTTTTACGGTTGCCTTTCACGGTTCCGTTTCTGTAACTGTTCCTATAAGCGTTCGCGGAAGTGTTACATGCGGGTTGTTGGGTGTAGAGGGGCTTAGGATACTGCCAGCACACCCCAATCTACCGTTAGCGCTCCCAAACGATTTAGGCTTAAACCCCAAGCCCCTAAACCCTAAACACCCCAAACCCCGCTACATCATGAACCCGAAACCCTAAACCATAAACCCTAAACCCTAAACCCTAAACCATAAATCCGAAACCCTAGTCTGCGGGCGAGGTGGAGCAGGATCGCTTGGCCCAAGCTCTCGCGACCATTCAGGACTGGCTGAGCAGACTGACCATGTTGTCATACTGTATTACTATAAGCACTATTGCTATATTCGTATTATAATGTAATGAATATCATTGCCGTTACGGTGTTCAGAACTTTTGATATTGCCTTGATACTTGTGAAATATGCTAATACTAACCAGAAACTGCTGTTGTATGGTTGTTGGTCGGGTGCGCACTCTGCAGCAGCAGTAGGGCCCTGATACACCTGACCTCGTCGCTGCCCCAGCTGTTCAGCTTCTGGGGCGTGCCAAGGCTGCCTTGCAAAATTCAGCCTTGTCACTGCCCATAGGCCCTAAAGTAGTTCCTTTTTGGGGTTCATATATAGAACCCTACAAGGTAACCCAAAAAAGGAACTATTATGGGGCCTATGGGTGGTGCTGAGGGCGCAACTATATGCCCAGCTGTCGCTTCTGCACGACTCCTTCTGCTGAACCTCAACCCTAGGTCCTATAGCCTAAACCTCAAAGAACCTACAGCTTGAGGGCTGCTGGGAATCATAATAAGGATCCGGAGAAAGGTAGGTATTGTACAGGGTTCAGGTATAGGCCAAATCTTAAAGGACTCCTAAACCCTAAACCCTGAACCCTAAACCCTAAACCCTGGCTCGCCCCTGAACCTACGACTTGGCCCGCAGGATGCTACGAGCAACCTTTCATACCTTCGTCGCTTGCAGGTGCCTGGTGTGGCGCATGTTCTAGGGTTTAGGGTTTATAGGTTTAGGGTTTAGGGTTTAGGGTTTAGGAGGCATGTTCTAGGGTTTAGGGCTTATAGGTTTTCGTACAGGGCCTCCATAACTTATCGGCTTCAGTGTTTAGGGTTTTGGATTCAGGCGAGAGAGTTCGGGGCTGTGAGGGGAGCGGATGTTAGCGGTTTCTTCCCGTCCACCTGCAATTTGATGTGCCTTGAGAGCGCGTGCCGAAACGAGGGTCCTGAAATCCCTTTTGCCCTGTTGGCGTCATGTTGGTGATCTTAATCCGAGCACCTGATTAATAGGGGGGCCCCCCCCCCAAAAAAAAAAGGT